CAACGCAAATTTCAACCGTTTGTTGCGGTGAAAATTTTAGAGCACCTAATTTTTAAATTTGTTACTTAATTAGCACCTAAAAAGCCCCTAATTTGGGCTTTTTCTAAAAGCATATTTGATTCTATTCTGATTTTCGGAAAACCTGAATTTTACATCTGCTTTTTTCTGAATAACGACTTTATTTTTATTACGGCGGCTCTTCACGTTGGCCAACACACTGGCGAATGTGTTGGCCCACAACGATGGCCGTCGTGTAGAGCGGGTGTTTAAGCTACGTTGGTACGTATTGGAACGATGGCCCACAAGTTGGCGCGAGACGGCGGCTCTTCACGTCGGCCAACACACTGGCGAATGTGTTGGCCCACAACGATGGCCATCGTGTAGAGCGGGTGTTTAAGCTACGTTGGTATGTATTGGAACGATGGCCCACAAATTGGCGCGAGATCCGTGTGGAGTCGGTTTTTTGCAAAAGATCAAAGGGTTGTGGCAGAGTATTGGCCGTCGCGTCCACACGTTGGGCGCTCGTTCATTTTGCTACGAGCTCCCAGAGTGATTGCACGCACCTGATTTAAATTTTATGTGCACGCATCGTAACTAGTGTCTACATAACGGCAGTAACAATGACCAATGAAAAAACTTTTCGCTTTATAGAGCCCTACCAAGCCGAAAATTGTTTGTAAAAGACAAGTCTTTTAAAAAAAAAATGTTATTATACACTAAGATTTTCTCCTGTATCGTGGAGGCAGTTTAGAAACATAAATTGCATAAGGACAAACATCCAGACCGGGAGAAATTATGTGCAGGCTATACAAATACTTGTTCCGTGCGGGATTCGAACGCGCGGCCCCCAGGGCAGCAACTCATTGCTAAGCCACTACGCCAGAGCCGTCAAGAAATAAAATTTCTTTTTTCCATTTCTTTTTGATCACCCTTATCTTATACACATTCACGTTCTAGTGATTAATTGTGTATTAATATATTTATTGATGTATTAATTGATTTATTAAATATCTTAAAATATATAATATATATTAAAAAGTAGGATACTAAAATCATGTTTTTACTGTCTTTATTATTCCCTATTAGTTACTTTATTTCGTTAATAATACTGTAATTTTTAGCTATGGAAGAGCGAAGTCACCTGTTACAGGCATTATTTTGCTTACTAGGTGACCTCGATCACTGATCATATAATGTAACTTTAATATTTGACGAAATAAATTATTTATTATTATTATTAAGTTTTATTCTATAATTATATAATAAGAATAACCGTTTTTAAAAAGGTTTTGTTTATAAAATTTGACAACAGTTTCATAGACAGGCTTCGAATATTTTCCAGGCCTTAGTTGTAAAAGTGTTAATTATACCTATGCCTAGGTGTGTTAATGTTTATATAGTTCACTTATCTGTATAACGTTAGTGTATAATAAAGAAATATTAAAAATTTATATTAAAAATATTAAATATAAAAAATAGTGAAAATTAAATAAAAAAATAGTGGTATGCTGTGAATAAATAAACCGCAGCAGCCGTTAGCGCATCAATAATCATTTTAATAAATTCGTCCGCACACTGGCCTGAACCGAAGCAAACTGAACGACCTTCCAACGTGTGTACGTGATCACAATTTCTTGGCCAATAACTCTGCCAACACATTCGCCACTGTGTTGGCCAACGTGAAGAGGCGCCATTAGGGGTGCTTTGTTATTGCCTATAGTTGCAGCACCTAATTAGCACTTAATTCCTTGCTATTAATATTTATCGTATATCTAATAACTTAATTGCGTTGCTAGCGATACGTTTTGCCAGCAACGCAAATTTCAATCGTTCATTGCGGTGTAAATTTAAGAGCACGTAATTTTTAAACTTGGCACCTAATTAGCACCTAAAAAGCCCCTAAATTTTGGGTTTTTCCAAATGCAAATTCCCGACTTTGCGTTGCTGGCGAAACACAACTAGACGTAAGGTTCTAAAACGAGCGACGGGGAGCAAATTCAAACGCTAAAGGTGTGAAATAAACGTAGGTGATTTAGTAGTGATTTAATTAATCTATGGTGTGAAACGTATGGTAATGCGATTGTCAACCTATTACTTAAAGTGAGAAACACCCATGTGCAATAGTGAAGTTTTATGGACTGGTGAGGTAATGTAGGGTAGCCTTAGCTGGAGAAATAATATGTACCTACTCTCATGAATTTGGAAAACAATTTATGAAAAGCTAAACACAGAAGCGTTATAAGCGTAATGCTGCTATTTTACGCTGGTATTCTGTAAGACCGTGGTCCTTCCCCGGTCGAGCCGACCCATTCGTGCTACAACTATACTACTAATATAGCTGTAGCATGGCTCTACCACATATAACACCTCAGAAGTGATAACACATCTTTAGCCTTTGTTTCAACTTACACGTACCATCAGGTGTAGTAAGTTAGTATGTCACTTCAGGTTTTTTTTTTTGTAGAATAAGAGTTACAAAGGAGCACAGTCCACCTGATGGTAAGTGGTTGCTATGGCCCATAGACGTCTAGGCACATCTATCTTCGATTGCGAATTAAAATGCAGATGCGTTAGCAGCCGTGAGGACTAAGATAGAATGCCTCTTTTTCAGTAAAATGGGTTTATAAAAAAAAAAAGTATTTCGTAATGTTATTGCAAATCCACTGATTTAAGCATGTCAATATAGTAGAATCGTGAAAGTTTGTGAGGATGTATGGATGTTTGTTACTCTTCCACGCAAAATCTTTTTTTTTTTTATAGGATAAGGGTGACAAACGAGCACACAGTCCACCTGATGGTAAGTGGTTGCTGCGGCCCATAGACATCTACATCTATCCTCTATTAGAAATCAAAATGTAGATGCGTTGTCACCCGTGAGGACTAAGATGGAATGCCTCATTTCCAGTAAAAAGGGCCTCCGGCCACCTGCACTCACCAAGCGAAACGCAGAGGTAAACCTCTACTTCACGCTGGTTTTCTGTGAGGTCGTGGTACCACCCCGGTTCGAGCCGGCCCATCCGTGCGACAGCAAAAGCTGCCGCGTGGCTCTACCACTGTAAAAAAGCAAAATCTACTGAATGTATTTAATGAAACTGTACAATAATATAGCTCATACATCAGGACAACACAAAGACCTCGGCAGTATATATCTATCTTTTATGTGTAAGCCATCGTTACCAAAATAATGAACCATAAATAAAATAAAATGTGACATCTTTATTTCCAATGCACATGCAACAAATGGATTTTATCAGAATAAGTAAGTACTTTAATCGCTTCTGATGTTCAAAGTAGTAATATCTTTCAAACTAAGTACGTAATTTGGTCAAATATTTTAAAGTAACGACGATATAAAATTGTGCGGTCCGGCTCGCGCAGGGCGGTCGAGAGTACTGCGGGCGAGGTGTGTAAAAACATCGCTCATCGCCGCGTGAGCAAATGTAGGTACATCTTCACGCTTAAACCGCTGAACTGATTTATATGAAATTTGGTATCGAGATAGTTTAACTCCCCGGGAAGGAAATAGGATAGCTTTGATCACGGAAATCATCCCTAGAGGGTGATAGAATTTACTATGAAAGTGCGATTATTGATGGATCACCTATGGTTTAAAGTATAACATCTACGCGGACGAAACCGCTGGCAAATGCTAGTAATATTATATTAATACTAAAAAACAATGTCAAGCTAAGGATGAAAGCAACAATTTTTTCATGCGTGATAGAGCCATGCTACAGTTATACTAATAGTATAGTTGCAGCACGAATGGGTTGGCTCGACCGGGTAAGGACCACACTCTCACAGAATAGCAGCGTAAAATAGCAGCTTAATGCTGCTGTGTTTCGTTTGGTGAGTGTAGAGAACCGGAGACCCTTTTTACTGGAAAAGAGGCATTCCATCGCAGTCCTCGCGGCTGACAACGCATCTGCATATTCGCAAACGAGGATAGATGTAGATGTCTATGGGCCACAGCAACCACTTACCATCAAGTGGACTGTGTGCTCGCTTGTCACCCTTATCCTATTTAAAGAAAAAGCTAGTTTCTTTTTCTGAACGCCTCGTAATTTTGCAGAATTAATTATATTTGACAGATGTAAAATTACCTAGGGCATCAACCTTGGACTATTTAGTATGATGCTTTGACTTTATCCAAGCCATCAACAGATTAGAGTAATTCATACATATATATGCAATCAATAGGCGCAGAATCAACTCAAAGATGCGAAGAGAGAGAATGCAATCATCAACCCCCCTTTGAGAGAGGCGAATTTCCTTTACAAAAACTTCTGAAATATACTTTCAGCGACGTTCATATAAAGGTTTGTGGTTCAAACAAACATTGAAAATCAGGAATATGCTTTAACATGGGTTGAAACGACAATTGCAAGTCAGACTTTGGGAGAGGCTCATTTCTTGTACACTTCTGAAATATATTTTCAGTGACATTAGGTTAGTGGCTTAAAGTAGCTTTGAAAATCAGAGATACGGTTATAAAATAAAAAAAAACATGGGTTGCCTACATTTATTTATTGAATAAATTACAAAAACAATTGCAGGCAGTACATTCTCGCATAAAGTTAACGATTTTCAAATCATATTACAGATAAACCCTATATATTTAGTAAAAATTTAAAAACATCGAGTTATACTTCTCGCGGCTGGCACTTTTCCTTTTAAGCACATACTTTGGAATGGTCCTTCCTACATACACTAAGCTAACTCCGAAACAAATTCATAGACTTATAAGCCATGATTTCAATATGTATATATATCTAGCGTTTATTCTGTAGGCACACTTAAAATAAAAATTATACTTGCAAAATCAAGTTCATTTGGGAAGAATTGGGAAACGACACGAGATTGATTTACATCTGATAATGCCATGTGTGGATAGATCTACCAAATTGGTAGTTTTTGTAAATTTTTTGTAAATTTGGTGAGGTGCGAAATCAATCTCTTTAAAATTATCACTTGGGAATAGCCTATATGCTTATAGTCGGTTAGTGTATAGCGATGAGTCCAGATTCAAGAAGCTTCTGTATTTTAGCGGCAATTTCCGGGTTCTTAAGATGATCTTGCAATGCGTGTGGGTCCTGCTGCATCTGTTCGAGGATGCAGCGCATCGCTGGATCGCCGAGAATTGATTGGACTTCTGGGTCTCCCATCGCACGCTTGCGTACCTGATGACGAAAACCAAAATCTATTATATACATTCAGTTTACGACAGTAAGCGAAAACTTAATAAAGTTGTTCTGTTGTTCGTCTGAGTGTCTGACATTTGCACACATATGTATTACATCATACACCATGATACACCACCAATTATGAAGGCCACAAGGTATCAAATACAGTATGAAACGCTCCAATTTAGTACAGTCGCTCAAATATACTAATTCGGACTTCAAGTATTATCTATTTCTCTATGTTAATACAATTTAATATCTATTCCACAATATACTCTTACAAAGCCCAGGCACAAAATAGGGGGTTTAAACGGTGCCACCACACTGGTTACCGTTAGTTTTATTAAGTTTGCTGCTGAACATGGGCCTTCCACAGACTGATCTCATAGGAAGGATATTTGCTATAGTTGCCAAGCTTGGCAGGAAGGTTCGCAACTGAAGCTTTCTACTTTCTAGTTGATATTTGAAAAAAGCTGGTGCCAATCTCCTGTCTATATAAAAAAAAATCTCCTGTCTCAGTTCCCCTCTGTTGCCTCATACCACCTTATGGGACGATATGGAGTAGTGGATTATCTTAAATCGCCATGATAGCACTAATCAGCGGTCCTAAAACCGTTTTTATATATTCAATTGAAAAGAGTCAACACACCTCTTCTGGGTTGGAGTTGAGCTGTGTAGAACACGCTCGGTAGCCTTCCAATGCTTCTGCATTACTGGGGTCCAGTTCTAACGCTTTCTGATATGCTGTGAGTGCTTTGGATGCTTGTTGCATTCCCTGTAAGAAAATGAAATTTTATATAAGAAATCACGAAGTGAAGCATTTACATAATCCTCAATACGGCCATATACTCTCATAAATCTCATCTCAATGGTAGTCAATCCACTACCGTGCGATTTATTTGAAATTTATTGCCACGCACAACCATACTGTGGAATTTACTGTTGCCAGCGGTTTTTCCAGGCCGATATAACTTAAGGACATTAAAAAAAAAGGGCTTACTCCTTTCTAAAAGGCCGGCAAAGCACCTGCAATTCCCTTGGTGTTCAACGTACGTGGGTGACGGCGATCGCTTACCATCAAATGAGCCGTATGCTTGTTTGCCTCCTCTTCTCCTATTTAAAAAAGAAACCTTTTTCTTTATCAGCCTGTAAAAGACATGGGCAATGGACCCAATGTATGAAGGGTTTGCCTTAATCGTCACATTTGGCGGACGGTTTTACGACTGCAGTGCCAGATGCCAAATGCCAGTTGCCAGATCTTTGAGAATGCAGTTTTTCACAGGATTCACAGGTGCAGTCTCTATTCCCTCACTCTCATAGCTCAATGGGATGGTAAACAGACACAGCCAGAAAGAGATCAGGCACAGGACCAACGGCTTTATGTTTTCCAAGGCCAAGGGTTATACACTGCCAACTGCCTGACTCCGAGCTGCTACTGAGAAAACAACTACTCTTCAACTTACTAAAACAAACTATATTATGGCGGAACATAGCACAAATGGGTTGGCTTGAGTGGGGAAGGACCACACTCACAAAACACCAGCGTAAAATAGCAGCTTAATGCTGCTGTTTCATATGGTGAGTATAGAGAACCAGAGACCCCTTTTACTGGACATGAGGTATTCCATATTAGTCCTGAGGGATCAACATCTGCATATAGATTCTTAATCAAGGATAAATGTAGATGTCTATGGGCCAGAGTATCCAATTACCGTCAGGTTAACTGGGCGCTTGTTTATCACCCTTATTAAAAAAAAGAAACTGGTTTTTTGTCCGACCAAGGAGGCAGTCCTGACAGTAATGATACACTGGATTACAATCAATAGACCACAATTACCTGTAAGATCTTGCCCTTTCTGATCCAGCCCTTGATGAATTTTGGATCGAGTTTGCAGCACTGATCGCAGTCCTTGAGGCCGAGGTCGAAGGCTGCTAGTTTAGTATAACAAGCGGCACGATTTGAGTACAATTTGGGATCGTCTGGGTTACGCTTGATCGCTTCAGTATAGTGTTTGACTGCTGTACTGTAGTCACCTGCAAGGAAAAATGTTCAATCTATTTGTATAGGTTAGCTCACAGCTGGGCACAGACCTCTGATTCCTGAGTAGCCTATGAACCAGAACAACATAATTTTTGTGTTGTTCTGGTTCATAGCCATATTAATTTTGTTATTCAATATAGATTGTTAACATCCAAAATAAATTAAAAATAGCTTGGTAGAGATTACCTCATTCCCAGAGGTTATTATCATCCATAAATTTCTTAATATTATAATAACCTTTTTTACACAAACTTTGTTATAAAGTTTTTGTGCTTTGAGGTCAAATTTGGTATATTTTCTGCAATTTTGTTGTACATCACTTGAAGAATGAAGCTTGTGTCTGTTCCTAGTGTTTACAGAAGGAATATCACTGTTCTTTTTTAAACTACTTTTATTTTTGTTTGCATACATAACATTTTTGTAAATGTATTGAGAGCAAAGTTAATATATGTACTTATTACGGACGGCGAAGGGAGCCGCCGCCCCTTCGCCCCATCATACCCCGTTTCGGCCCGCGCGCCCCGCTCACCCCGCACACCGCCCCGACATCACGTGAGCTCGCCGACCAATGAGCGCGCAACACATGGTGTAAGAACACGCTCATGCCAAGACACACGCCGCGGGAATATAAGAAGGGGCTTTTGGGCTCCGCTTCATTATATTCGACAGCAGCACTCAAGAAAGAAGAATTAAGACTCAAGAAAGAAGAATAATCAAGACTCCCTAGAAGATCCCCTCTTGTGTATATATATTATCATCATCATCATCATCATTACAGCCTTTCATAAGTCTACTGCTGAATATAGGCCTCCCCCAAGGAATGCCACAAAACACGGTCCTTAGCCACCTGCATCCATCGACTTCCTGCATATCTTACCAGGTCGTCACTCCATCTAGTGGGGGGTCGCCCTACACTTCGCCTACCGGTACGAGGCTGCCACTCGCGAACCTTTCTTCCCCATCGGTTGTCGGTTCTTCGAGCTATATGGCCGGCCCACTGCCACTTCAGCTTACTAATCCATTGGGCTATGTCGGTTACTCTGGTTCTACTGCGGATATCCTCATTTCTAAGTTTATCACGCAGAGAAACCCCGAGTATATATATATATATAGTTATAGTTCATTGCCGCTTGTGTAAATAGTCAAATATATTATTTTAAAGTGTACCACCTTTCCTTTTAAACAACGTCCCTAGTAGTATTTCACCTTCAAAAAATACAAAATATAAAATACTACAGTCCCTAACAGTACTAATTTCTTTACTGTCTTAGAATAACAAAGAATAATTTTTATTCAATTTAGATTACAAGAATACTTATTGATTATTAATTACGCTTTTACAGCTGGTTTAAAAAAAACCTCGGTCCTGGGTTAAACCAGCAAGAAACCCAGTGGGACTCTCTTTTTTAAACAATTACAATTAAATATGATAACATTTAGAAACAGAATGGTAGCAATCACTTATTCCCAGGGGTTATTAACAAGCATGTTCTCTTTAGTAGTGTAATAACAAGCCTTATTAAAACAATTTTTGCTTACTTCAATTTAGGTAAGTCCTGCATATTTTCTCAGACATACAATTTTTCTTATTTTATATTATTAATTATTTAATTATTTTTAATTCTTGAAGTTGTATTTGACTTTTTATCAAAAGGATTTTTTTATCATTCTCGTGAAAACCAGCTAATAGATACGAGGCAGATTTTTTTTACATGTATGAAGAAGATTACCTTTCTTGAAATATTCATTGCCCAATTCCTTCTCTTGCTCAGCTTTAACTGGGTCAATGTAGGCCTTTTTCTCCTCCTCGACGATGCGCCGTTCAACCTCGCTTAATAAGGTCTTTATTTCTGGAGTTCGGTGTTCTGACATTGACTTTTCATAATATGTCTTCGCTAATTTCCACTGTTCCATTTTCTTATATGCATTACCTTATAAAATTTAAAATGATTAGAAAGTAAAGAAATTGTTCACATATATATAAAAGGAAAGGGTCGGAGTGTGACTGGTTGTTCACTGCGTTATAAAATGGTTGAAGGTTGCTTCTACATTTGTCATATTTGTGAACACGAGGTACTTGTGGGAACTGGTCTGCCTAAGATTGTAACCTTATTTACCAAAATAAAGCCCGTAAAATTACATGATAAAATCCGTAAAAGTAGTATTATTCAATGTGTAGTTCACGTTGAAAAACTTTTTTTTTAAATAGAATAAGGGTGACAAACAAGCACGCAGTCTACTGATGGTAAGTGGATTCTGTGGCCCATAGACATCTACATCTATCCTCAATTAAGAATCAAAATGCAAATGCATAGTCACCCCTGAGGAGTAAGGTGGAATGCCTTGTTTCCAGTAAAAACACCATATGAAACACAGCAGCATTGAGCTATTTTACGCTGGTATTCTGTGAGTGTGGTGTCCCTCCCCGATGGAGCCGACCCATTCGCGCTACAACCATAATATAGCTGCAGAGTGGCTGTACCATGTAAGACAATGTAATATATTTTATTAACTTAAAATACCTGAAATATTAGATTCTTGAGAAAATAAATCAATAACAGCTTTGAATACATTTAAAACAATACAAAGAACATTTAAAATGTAAAGAAACACAAGAGCAAACTTTGTATGTAGGTTTTTTTGGTAAACATTTTTTTGATACTCACCAATTCTAGTAAACGCTTTGGCAATTAGTTTGAAATCAGCTCTATTTTCTCTACCAATATCAATTGCCTTCTCGCATTCTTTAATACATTTTTCGTAATCCTTCTGTTCAAAATAAACTGCAGCTATATTTGTGTAGAAAGTAATATCTGTGGGGTCATGTTCGACAGCTTTTTGGTAGTGTTGAATTGCATTTGCAAAGTCTTTTTTCTTATAACATTCATTTCCCAGATCTTTTTCTTGTAAGGCTAGACGACGGTTCTCTGGCAAGTCTTCATATTTAGGTTTGGGCGGCTCCTCTTTCTTTGGTGGTGGAGTTGCTTTTGGCTCTGGAGCTGGTGGATCCACATCCATGGCAGATCCCATGTCTACACCCAGCATTACACCAATTGTAGTAACAATACGCTGGTCATCCATTTTACCCTCAAGTGATTTTGTGTTGAAGGGATCTAATGCTAATTTCTGTAAAAAAAAAATAATATTCGTTATTATATATATATATATTCTCTTCGGTAGAATCTATTAAATAATCAATGACTATGCTCTTTTCTTTTTTATTGAGTTGATCCTGTGTGCTCCTTCACTGTTCTCCGACTATTTGTGTAATCAATGAACTATGGCTACTTTTACATTTTTTTTCGATGCAGATCCTACTACATAGGCTGCACTAAAATTATCGGGAATGGAATATTTTCACTGTTCCTGTCATATTAAAATCTTTTTAATTGAAAAGTCGGTTTTTTAAAATTGAATACCATTTATTTATTTAAAAAAAGATTCTCGGTTTTGTCACAAGGTTTTGTCAAACTTGTTTAGTCGTTGAGAAAATGGAATTGACTCGAGAAAATTCAAGAGCGATGATTTATTATGACTCGAAGTGGTTTAACACAAAAATCAGTGTGTTGACCGGATGATTTCTGCATTTGGTGATTAAGCCCCATCCAAAACCACAATTTATCGCTGGTTTGCTGAATTTCAACGTGGACGTGTCAAGCTCAGTGATGATCCCCGTCAAGGTCGTCCAAAAACTGCAGTCACCCAAGAAAACTTTGATGCTGTGCGTAAGCTGATTGAGGAAGATCGACATGTGACCGCGAAATTCAGGCAACTTTAGACATTGGCATGAGTCAAATTCAAATAATCTTGCATGAACAATTAGGTGTAAAAAAAGTTGTTTTCCCGATGGATACCACATTCGCTCTGTAAAGAGCAAAAAGCGGCTCGCGCTACTTGGTGCGTCAGAACTCTCGAAAGATTCCACGCAGGATCCTCAAATGCTGTATACAACATCGTATCAGGTGACGAATCCTGGATATACGCGTACGAACCCGAAACAAAAAACCAGTCACGAGTTTGGGTGTTCGTAAATGAGTTAAAGCCAACAAAAATTGTTCGTTCACTAAGTGTTGCAAAAAAAAATGGTGGCCACGTTTGTCTCCAAAACCGGCCATGTTACGACTATTCCTCTTGAGGGACAAAGAACGATTAATGCAGAATGGTATGCTAGCATTTGTTTGCCACAGGTCGTTTCTGAACTCCGTAAAGAGAACTGCAACCGCCGCATCATCCTCTATCACGACAATGCGAGTTCTCACATCGCACACAGAACAAAAGAGTTTTTAGAGCAAGAAAACATTGAATTATTAGACCATCTGCCGTACAGCCCCGACCTAAGCCCTAATGATTTCTATACTTTCCCTAAAATAAAGAATAAATTGCGTGGACAGAGATTATCATCACCTGAAGAAGCTGTGGACGCCTACAAAACGGCTATTTCAGAGACCCTAACTTCCGAATGGAATGGTTGCTTCAATGATTAGTTCCATCGTATGGAAAAATGTGTCAAATTTCGCGGAGAATACTTCGAAAAGCAATAAATACATTTTTAAATAGTGATGTTGTGTCACTTCCTTGATTCCCGAAAGTTTCAGTGCCACCCTCGTACGAGCATCAGAGCAGTAGCTCAAAACCTCAACATTTCGGTATGGTAGGTGTTTAGGCTAAATCGTAATACTATAAAAACTTGCTTCAAGATGCGCGCGCAGCGCATTTGTTCGATGGTGCCAGTCAGCCTGGTGCCCCCCGCGCGCGTCTCTCCGCTCACCACTCAGTCGCTCGACTCGTGGGCTAGTAGCAACAGTGGATTGAACGCCGCGGCATGGTCGACTAGAGTATGTTTTGCGACCGTTAGTAGGTTGCGCGCGACCAGTGTTTTGATTTGAAAATTTGGGTTAATTGTGCGCGTCGTTTTGGAATTTACTATCGAATATTTGGATTGACATTACTTACTGTCGTTTTGCTTCATTGAACTACGAGGTCGCGTGCAAAAGGAAGCCTCTAATTCGGGTCGTTTTTTGTTAGTTCATTTACGTAACGACGAGGCGTTTCTTCTTAAATTTGAGCGATTAAAGTAACTTCGTTTGCAAGTAATTTACGTAAATTTGTATAGTGATTGCATGTTGAAGTGCATTTTGCAATATTTAATTTGCTTGTGTGACGTGAAACCGTGCGCGCACGCCGAGTTGGCCTGGAATTTGATGCTCGCATTCCATTTCGAGGGCGTGGCCCGGTTAACTATTTTTGGAAGTTAATGTTGAATTGTAACGTCGCGTTAAGTGCCTTTTTTATGTGTTGACTATTTTCGTTAGTTTTACGTGTCAATGAGGCGGATTTTGAGTTCTGATTGCGGGCGTGGTATTATAATATCGTACGAAAGAATTTTAGCTTGTCGTGTGGAACGCTGAACTTTGAGACTCGAGAAGAGGCCGCGTTCGTTCCCGTGTTTGTAAATTTGTGCTACGTGAGCCCGGAACATTGAATATTGAACTTTGAACGACGGTTTGTTACTTGTGTCGTGCGTCACTTGTTTTAATTTCGATGAACGTTGAGTTGGTTGACTTTGAAGTTAATTAAATGTACAATAAAGTTGATAAACTGAAATAGTGAAAGAAGGCAATAGTATTCAATTGGTGAACTACGACTGGAGGGAGCGCACATTTGGAGAGCAGCAGCACCTGTGGATCTTCTCTCCGATTACATTGGACCGTCAGGTTACATGTATATACACTTTCGCACACCACTTTACATACACCTCACTTATCACCTGACTGGTACCCTGTGGTCAACCCTACCTCCGGAGATCGGTAAGTGCTTGCTTAATTTGTCAGCCGTTTTTGAACATTTATCCATAGGCCATTGGGCTCCACCCTTGGTTGCCCGTCGCGACTACCACTCATGGGCCCTGGTACGGTCAACCTTTGTCGGGGCAGCTAAGGGCGTGAACAGTAGGTGTAGAATACAATGCACCGAGAAAACAAGTATCCGTACCGTATAAGGTGTAGAGACCATGGTTTGGAAAATGAAGATCCCCACCAAAGATTCAGTTCTGTCGCTTTTTGTTAAATAGTGACATTGAAGATGAATGGTTTTTAAAGTACATCTTGTGGACCGATAAATCAAACTTTTCGAAAGAAGGAATTACCAACTTTTATAATAGCCATCGATGGGCTGGCAAGGACAGCAATCCACACTGGACGAAACAAATGCCGTTTTTAAACGGAAATTTTCAGTAAACGTGTGAGAGCAATCGGCCAAACGTTGATTGGTCCCCACCTCCCAGATAATTTAAATGGAGACAATTACCTGGAACCCCTTATATACAATCACCCAAAGCTTCTGGACGAGGACGAACTACCAATATTGGCAACGAGAAGATCAATGATTTTTCAGCAAGATGGTTGTCCAGCGCACTCTAGAAGTGCGAGAACATTTAAATAATTATTTCCCAAAGAACTGGTTCGGCAGAGACGGGGCCATTCCTTGATTTAACTCCTGCGGATTTTTTCGTTTGGGAACGGGCCATTAGTGCCTATACACGCATGTGGAAATATCATCCAGAGAGGAGTTAATAGGAAGAATCCATACGGCTTTTCAAGTTACGAAGCAGGAGATGAAAATGAAAATTACAACCACAGAAGTGAGAAGACGAGCCTACAGTCCAGATTTCGTAATTTTATTTTTTAGAATGTAACATATTATACATGAATATTTTAATCATTTAAATGTTGAGATGGTGTGAATATGACCTCAATGGGTCACGTTGTTTGAGTTACATGAGTTAATTTAAGTTTGAGTTTTATTGAGTTACACATTAACAATTATATAAATAAAGATATACTAAGTGCAAAGGCTCCTATTCTATCCAAGAGTCCATCTGGGTTACGCTCTCACCTATTTCTGCCACCAAGCAACTTTTGCTTGAAGAATGAATTACTACTGAAATGAATTGCACTCACTGCCATGTTCCCGTTTGTAGGTTATGAAGGGCGTTATAAATTATATGCTGTCAAAAATTTCAGTTTAGTCCTCAAGTGTGATAAAACATCTGTAACCCTTTCTGTTGCAGGTGTCCATGGGCTATACTATCCTCTAACCATCAGGTGGACTGTTAACTCATCTATACAATAAATAAACTTACATACACATTCACAATTTCATAGTCCAGTCAAATAAGGTCTGAAATCAAAATTTTGACATTCAACTTTGCATTTTTGATATAATGTAGTTTTAATGATACAAAACCAACGTGAAAAGGTTTTCGTGTTCGCAATCCCCGGCAAGGGTTAAAAAAATTGTCAAAAGTGTTTTTTCGCAATTACTCGAAAACGGTAAAAATCAAATAAAAAAGTATGTACGAAAAATATAGCAATTTGAATCTTTCAAATTGAAATTTGAATGCTTAAAAATTAATGAATTATTTATTTTTTTCCATATTTAGATTCCTCGTAAAATTTCCTAAATTGACTGAAAAAAATCCTAGTATATTTCGGCAGCTGTGAATTTATAAAGGAATAAAATCTTTTTCAAATCCTACGCCGTTGTATTAAGGCCCGAGTTAAAAAGGGAGGACTATTACTTACTATGTATGCTTACTTGTATACTACTAAATGAGGTCTGAGTGAGAGTGAGAAGACATCATCACAGAATCATAATTCTCGCATTCTCTCTATTTTACGAACCATTCATTAAAATAGATCAGGTCAGGATCAGGACTTGGTGATTAAATCCGAAACCAGGAAGTAATTTTTTTTAACATTACTATCTCTTAATTATAAGTAAAAGATTTTTTAATTGACCTGACGATATTAAATATATTATATCGATTTCAAATTTCATGATTCGTAAAAAATAACTTGACATTGCATAATATGGGATTGATTTCTATACTTAACATTTCTTTTATAAACAATTACAAATTATAAAAAAATTATCCCGACATGTCAAATTAGTTTTCTGAATTTAGCTACTTGTAATCGACCAGACAGATCTACAATTAGTACAATTCTTCAGTTTTCTTGAATTAAATAAATTCAAAATCCTGATTTAATTTAAATTTCTAAGGGGTGTTATAGTAAAATTTTCCTTGTATTACATATTTAAAAATAATTGATGTTTGTGAAATGTTATTAATTTTATTATTTAATTTATTCAAAGATAAAAGTAAATAAATTATTTTTTTAACAACAAAAAAATTTGTACATATAACATAAAACTTTAATTGTTAAATTTTAAAATCTAACCTCTAGGTTAAATTTTATAAACAATTTTAAAAAACGAGTATGTTTCTACTCCCTACAATTTTTAAAATTTACGTTCATCCTTAAAACCTCCCTAATTTGGTTAAATTTGACCGGAGCAAAAAATCATTTAACCTTTTTTATGCAAAATTTTAAGCTCTACACATTTTAAGTACTTTTTTATCTAATTTTTTTTATTATTTTTTTTCGATTAATTGCGCAAAAATACTTTTAAATTTTTTTTACCCTTGCCGGGGGTTGCGGACACGAAACCCTTTACTAAATTTTAATTTAATAATACAAAGTTGAGTGTCAAGATTTTGATTTCAGACCTTATTTGACTGGACTATCAATTCACAATGTCAAAATAAATTCTTTTTACTAAATGCATATGAAAGTATACATGGTGCTTACTTAAAACAAAAAAACATTTATTTTTATTTTTGTCTATCTGTCCGTTTGTTCCGGCCGATCTCCAAAACAACTGGACCTATTTTAACGGGACTTTCACTGGCAGATAGCTGATGTTATAAGGAGTAACTTAGGCTACTATTATTTTAGAAAAAGCATTAGGGTACCACAAAAAGAAACCAACACACAAATTTGATAAAGTTAACTGTGTGGTAGTAGAGTAAAAATACTGACTACCTCATATCATACCCAGTGTCGTAAAAGGAGGGAAACTGATAAGATGATGGGCAGCAGTACCTTTGGTTGCCAACCCACTTGCTAAGCATGCAATTCCAAATGAGGCCTTCTATTGGGGAGGCCTATGTTCAGCAGTACCTTTTTATAGGCTGTAATGGGTGGACGGATGATAAGGTTATGAATATAAGATTAGAATTAACAATTGTAATGGCTAATAAAGCAAGACTTAGGGAACTTATCAACTATATTAAAATAACCTCTTCCTTATCAGTAATTCTTACAGCAAAGCTAATGGGTCAATAAACTTTGTTCAAATGACTTTGGTTATAATAATTCTTCTTTGTAACAAATATGCCTACATAACAATAACATAATAATGTAGAAAATATCTTTTCAGTTGCCACACAAGTGGTAATATTAAAAATGTTGTACAACTGACTTCAATATAAATTATTAAGAATCACTCAAAAACTACTGGTCAGACCTTGATCAAATTTATATGACTACGTGAGAAGCACCAGCTTTCAAATAAAAAGAATCATCAAAATCAGTTCACCTAGAAACAAGTCGTAAGGTAACATGCATAAAAAAATACAGTCAAATTGAGTACCTCCTTTTTATGAAGTATGTTAATAAACTGGACAACTGGACACATGTATATGTGTCCAATTGTCCAGTTTATTAAAACAAAATTGTTATTATAGTGATATGATTTTGCAAAATTGTGATATAAACAAATTAAACAACAGATTGTCTAGAATACTTCTTTTTTTGAAGGTTGTTCTAATTCAAAACTTTTAACTCAATTTAAGCTAGTTTAAAGCTCACCATGAATGTCAAAATCTACACCGGTTGGTAAAAAAAACCTCAGAGAAGAACCGAGAAACTCTGGTGATATTTTTTAATCTCATGTTAAAATTTTATTTGTAGTGCCGTATCAAATGTATATTATAAATATATGTCAATAGTGAATGATTCAGTTGCTTAATTCAGGTCACATAAAAGTATTGATGATTTACTTTGAACAATCTCGAACTATCCATTAACTCTTTAATCTGTGACCTGTGATTGGCTATTGGTGTTATGTGCAAATTATGAATGTAATAGTAAAACATGAATGGACTTTTTCTACTTACAATTCAAAATAAATTGGAATAGTTGTATCAACGAAACTATACTTCTATTATAAGGCTGAAACATTTGTATGCAAGTTTGAAATACTTTATCTTTCATTACACATGTGAAACATGAACACATTCCACAGGAGGCTCTTGATGTTAATTAAGCTTATATTTTTCCATATGTACTAGTTTTTAATAAACAATGACTGAAAAGTCTTAATATTAGTCTTTTTGAATTTATGGAAAGATTTGCAAGGCCTCAAATTATAAATTGCTTATATCACTTCAATTTGCATAAAAATATTATTTCCAATCCAGCTGCAGACCCCCACAGTACCACACATAGGACACAATTTGGTTAGCAAGTTAAGCAGATTAATATAACTATTGCTTCATCAGTTATAGGTTAGTGTGGGCTACAAAATCTACTTTTAGTTTGTCACTTTAAAGTTAAAGGTGCAGCCTATATTATTTAAGAAAACTTGAAATTTTCACCATAAAATTCATAAAATTACAACACACATTTTAAATGTGACATACTTTTTCATATTTTACATACCAATCATTATACATACACAATTAAATGAAGTTTTCCATATCTTTTTAACATTTTGCATGCTTACCTGAACCATTTTGACATATTCTGGATCTTTTAGCCACTCCCTTGTCTGGGGGTTGGATCTTAGTTTGGCAAACCATTTTTCAGCATTTAATTTACTATTTTCCATCTGTTTCTTCACTTCTGCAAGTCCCGAAGCTAATTGTTGGTTTCCAGGATCTAGTTCCAGTCCTTTCTCGTAAGCTGCTATAGCTTCTTCATATCTCCCTAAATACGCTAAAGCACTTCCTTTTCTAGAATATCCCTTACTCCATGTAGAATTAAGTGAGACAGTTGTGTTGGCATCATCGAGAGCCGCTTCGTAATTTCCTGCTTTAGCGTGAGCTGCTGATCGGTTGCTGTACAGAACGTGGTTCTTCGGATCTAAATTAATTGCTTCCGTATAATGCCTAATAGCTTCGTGGTAATTACACGCTGCCAATGCCGCATTACCCTTTTCTTTTAACTGATTAACCTAAAATACGAATTGTAATTTAAAAAAATATCACATTATAATACACCGGGGTTTTGTATCAGCATAACCTCCTTACCTGCTCCATGATTGTGCACTAAATATTTGTTTAAATATAAAACTGAATGGACTTATGGCACTAATAGCTCATTCACTTCGGCACGGATAATTATTTTCTTTGTTCGCACCGCAACAGTACAAGCTTTCGAAATAAAGAAATGAGAACGAATTAAAAATGATCACTGACACCATAGATATAAGAAATGACACACAGAAAATATATATCCCTTGCTGACACTTCAAATTCGAGAAAATTCTCGTCACAATAGAATAAAATTGACAAAACTACTAAACACCTAAACAGATCAGCAAAAACCTACCAAATTATACCATTTTAAAACATTTTCTACCTTAGACCGGATTCCATTTCGGGATTCCGTTTCGAAATTCCAATTCGGGATTACGTAAATACATTCCAACAGAAAAGCTTTTTTTAATAGGTACATAATAAAGGTAAATATAAGGGTGTTGAAATTATTTTTCATGAAATCTTTTTGTAATTGTCAAATTATGTTGTCTTACTTATAAGTTCAATTAGAAATGTGTAAAATATTATTCATTTATTTTTAGCGTAAGAGTCCGCGCAATAATTCTCAAATTTTATAATAATAAGCTAATAAACTAGTGACGATACATCGAAATCCCTAAACCAATAAAAATAATATTTTTGTAACAAAGTTTAAATTATAGTTATAGTGTTCGTAATGAGAATTAGTGACAGTGTGTTTTTATAACTTTCAGGAGGTACTTTACCTTTTATGACTTTCAAGAGGGTGTCGTGGGCTTATCACATAGCGCAGGTTTTTATTTGGTTTCAGTTTTTTCGAAATATTTTAATAGGGCAGTCTTGCACTGCGTTAGACATTTGATATATTATTTTATCTTTAAATAATACCTGGTAGTTTACCATGAAAACTAGAAGGCATAGTTATTAGTGTCCTATAATCGGGAGTGTAGAAAATATTAAAGGCAATGTGTTGCCAACCTACGAAGAATACTATTAACAAACCATCATTTTTAGAAATTAGCGAACTGGTGGTTCGTAGAGTAGAAGATGTGTGAAGAAAATCGTCTCTTCCTACGGTTTCACACACAAGAGTCATTCATTTATTAAAGACTTACCATTTAAAGTGGTTTGTATACCTCTCTTTTGCTCAGAACATTGTCTGCTAATCAAATCACTAAAAATATTAATTGCTGATCAAATAATATTTTTTTACAGAACAGCAAAGTTATGTACTACATTTGTTGATGTAAATGCGAATAAATTGAACTTTGCTGTTGTCCAAGAGAAAATAAGGTACCAAAAACTCAGTACATATAAATTGGTAGAGTTCTTACGGCAAAGTTACGAAAAAAAGTTAGTTCGACGAAGTTAGTTCGAAAAGTTAGTTCGTTGTGGTTCTTACGATACCCATAGGACGCATTTACATTACATTAGATACATGGCTTCCACTGAGCATTTAAAATGTCTTCGAAAGATCGAAAGCTTTCGCTTAGTCCTAAAAAGCCATGAGGGCCTTTTCTTTGGACTTTATTTATTTATATATTTAATTCATAAACTTGTGGCTTACAGAAAATCCAACACGCGCACAAGGTTAAATTTTACATGCAAAAAAAATTTTTTTCAAAAATTGTATCCATCCATAACAACAAAAATTAATAATCATAAATTAATTAATTATAAAATAATAGTAATATAAAATCTCGAAGCTTTTGGCAGCCCGTGTCAGAAATTAAAATGGTAATAAAGACAATTAAAACAATAAAGTATTAATAATTATACAATGAAATATTTTGTCATATCAATTTATAATGCAATGTCAATAAAAACTAATAACAATTCTAATATGCCCATAATTAAAATTACATCTTAAATATAAAGTATAAATAGTACATAGTCAACGAAATTAAATTGTCGAATTGTTAATTGTCATATCATCAATAATTTTATAAAAAAGAGTCAGCAGACGTGTTATACTGTCTGCAAATATGTCAATTTCATCGTGCTGTTAATTCTCGATTTGTTGGTGCAAAAGCAGCACGTTTGGTACGCGTAACTGGTCTATTTAGAAGACGCGGCCTACGGCGCGGAGCCACCGTTCCTCCATTATCTCTCTGCAGGTAACTGGGCACCAACAAACCGATTCTCTCCATCACTGACTGGCAATCCAACTCATGGCGAATTATAGAAAGATAGTGCCTAATAGTTGACATCACCCTCCTAAACATTAGGGTTTCAAAATCAACCATACCCAAGACGAATAAAGAAGGATAAAAATTTACGTTGTATCCTCTCTAACAAGAGAGTATACTTTTTCTCGTAAGGGCTCCAGACCTCGGATGCATACTCTAGTTTACTTCGAACATACGCATTATACAAAGTTTTAGCCACCCTTATCATCAAAGTCGGCAGCAGTCCTCATCACAAAACCCAAAGTCTTACAAGCTAACTTGCAAATGGATGTCATATGATTGTGAAAACTCAATTTAGTATCTAATATTAAACCTAAGCCACGTATGTCATATACTCTTACCAAAGGCGCGTCCTTGCATTTAGTCACATTAAGAGGAAGATGGTTCAGTTCACTCCATTTCGATACCACATCTATGTCCTGTTGAAGAGCCTGTGCATCAGCAGCACTACCAATCGCCAAACTTAATTTTAGATCATCTGCGAATAACAGACACTTCGCAGATTTTACTTTGGTAGGCAAGTCATTTATAAAAATTAAAAACAGTCATGCGTCCAGCTCAGCTTAATGTGTAACTGCCATAACCGAGCTTTGATACAAGACCTTCTACCACTAACCTATTTTATTCCTCTTCAAGTTAAGATTCAAAATCCAGTCAAAGAGTTATTTTTATATTCACTATACTTATTTGACATAAAACACACCATTAACTTAACTCACTGAATTGATGTTTTTATCAATGCACTTATACATATAATGTCTCAATAAGTTTTATTTTGTTGTCGCCCTCCTGACGAGGGCAGAAGGCTCCCGTGGCGCTGGCTTCCTTGAAAATTTATTTTTTAGTCGGAATTGCATATTACGTTTATTACGTTGGTAGTATTTATATTTCATGATATTTTTTGTGCATTCTTACTACTACTACTACTACTAATGCTACTATTACCACATTGCGCAGTCCAGCTTAGATACTGGTTAATGATTTAAGTCGATCAGAGCTTTTATTTACTCTTTGGTTACTACTTAAGTAAGGATAATTTTCTCATATACATATAATAAATCTATGGGTAATTTCCTTAGAATAAACATAAGCAAGCTATGGAGCGCGCTTTAACGAGTATGAACAGCAATCACGGGTATGAACAGTCTCGAAATTGCAAGAGCGATGCTATTAGCCACTAAAGAACAAGCGCGCTCATTGTTTCTCTCATCTGTATTTACTTGAATTTCAAGTAAATACAGGTTTCAAGTCCTTCCCCAGTCGAGGCGACCCATTCGTGCTACAACTATACTACTAATATAACTGCAGCATGGCTCTACCACGTATAAATCATTTGAATATTCTATAAATTCAATTCAATTAATGATCACTATGACAAGTAAAAAAAGGGCAATAATATAAATAATCATAATAACAGGAAAAAAAAATTAAATAAAATAGGCAGGCCGAATTTGTCCACACAAATTGAATAATATTTATATTAAAATATTCATTTAAATTTTAGAAATATGTTTCAATTAAATATAACTTTAATTTTGATAAAAATAATCTAGTGTCCGTTAGATTTTTTATGTCATTAATTTGAAAGGTTATTAAAAAAATTACTATCATACAGTAGCGGTTAGAGCTACGGAGGGGTACACTGAAATGATCATGAATAGTATATTTCGGATTGAGTTACAATAAAACCTTTTTTAGAATTTGAATACTGGCCTCTTAGAATCAAATTAATTGCCGTGTAGTGGCGGTTAAGAATATCCACTACCTCATATCTTCCCGTGGGTGTCGTAAACGGCGACAAAGGGAAACAGGCAGGAGATGGGCAGCAGCATCTTCCTGATAACAACAAAATTACAATAAAAAAACTGCAGTTGCCAACCTGCTTGCCAAGCGTGGCAACTCTGGCAACCCCCCCCCCCCATGACGAGAGTAACAAAGAGATGGCCCCCAGTCCCCGGCGGCCCCGCTATTCCCGGCTACGGTGGTGACCATGGTAACGGCGGGGCAGGGGGTGCTAAGAATCTCTGGTGGAGGTTCGGTTGCCACCTACGACGACTCGACCTGGCAACTTATAACGCACGCACCCTGAGGACTGACGTGAAGATCCTGGAGCTGGAAGAAGAGATATACAAGTTGCTCGCTGGAATATTATAGGATTATCCGAAGTCCGAAGAGAGGGGGAGGACACGGTAATCCTCAAATTCGGCAACTTGTTCCATCACCGGGAGGGCGACCATCTGTCCCAAAACGTTAACAACGTTGTAAATATTGGGAGTGTGTCGACGAGGGTTGCGTACCTTGTACTCAGAATCACCAAACGGTATTCGCTGAAGGTCATACAGGCTTACGCACCAACCTCGGCACACCCCGATGAGTAGGTGGAGAAAATGTATGAGGATATCTCTAGAGCCATGCATTCCTCCAAAACCCACTATACGGTGTTAATGGGAGACATCAACGCAAAACTAGGCACAAGAGAGAACGGTGAGCTGAAAGTAGAGAAATTTGGAATAGGGTAACGGAACCCAAGACGCCAGCAGCTGGCCGACTTCATGGAGAAAGAGGGACTCTTTATGATGAACTCTTTCTTTCAGAAGCGGCCCCACAGGAAGTGGACCTGGTCGAGCCCCGACGGTTCGACAAAAATGAGATTGACTTCATTATGACGACCAGACGACAACTGTTCAGTGATGTCTCTGTGATCACAAGGGTGAAAACCGGCAGCGATCACCGAATGACGAGAGGCACACTGAACCTAAACGTTAAATTGGAGAGGTCACATCTAATGAAGTCAACACTCCGTCCCTCTCGTGCTCTAATCCAAAGTCCCGA